AATGAATTCTGGCATTTGACTCAAAAGTCCAAATAATGAAAAATACTCAGCATCTCCTCTTTCATGAGAATCTAGGCAAACTTTTTTTGACTCGAGGGCCACAATGGGTTCTTAAACTGGACCGGAGGGCCGGAACAAAAGCATGGATGGAGTGTTTGTGTGAACTAATATAAATTCAAAGTAAACATCATTACATAAAAGGGTACGGTCTTTTTTTTCAATAGTTTTATTCATTTCAAACGGGCCGGATCCGGCCCACGGGCCGTAGTTTGCCCACGGCTGATCTAGACTCTAAAAGGCTGAATTGGCAAGTTTAGAGATGCTCGAGGTAAAGAAGATGGGACAGTAAATGGGAGGACAGCTTTGTAGGCTGAACAAACTTCAATAAACGTTTTAAAGGGTGTTTTGTCATGGGGAGAATTGATATCACAACTATGTTGAGTCTTCCTACCTATGACACACTATATATTTCCATTTATTTAGATCTTCTTTAATTTCTCAGTAGTATTTTATAGTTTTTAGTGTATAAGTCTTACCCTTCCTGTTTCAGATTTATCCTAAGTATTTCATGGGATGTTATTATAAATAGCAGTTTAATTTTTTAATTTGCTACTGTTTATTGCTAACATATAGAAATGCAATTATCTGTTCTATGAACTTTTATGTAGATTCCATAATACTGTCTACATAGATGATCATCTCTAAAAATAAAGATAGCTTTTGTTCCCTCCCATTCCAATTTGGGTGTTTTTTTATTTCTTTTTCTTGCCTTATTGCACAGGATAGAAACTCAAGTATAATGTTGAATAGAAGTGATGAGATCAGACATCCTTGCCTTATTCCTGATCTCAAAAATAAAGCATTCATTCAGTCTCTATCATTAAGTACAATGTTAGCTATAAATTTTTTCATAAATTGCTTACACGTTGAGGAAGTTTCCTTTAATTCCTAGTTTGCTGATAATTTATATCAAGAATAGATGTTGGATTTTTTGTCTAATGCTTTTTTTCTGCATCATTGAGATCATTTATAATTTTAGTTAATAAATATAGTGAATTCATTGACTATTAATCCAACCTTGCATTCCTGAAATACACCTTACTTGGTCATGATATATTATCTATCCATCTATACATATAAAAGCTTAAGCAACCAAATGACCCAATGAACCAACAACCGATCGACTGGTTGCTTTGACACACACTGACCACCAGGAGGCAGATGCTCAACTCAGAAGCTGCTCCCTAGTGGTCACTGCACTCCCACAGCCAACCTCCTGTGGCCCCTCCCCCTGGCCAGCCAGTCCTGGCGCTAAACCATTCACAGAGACCTGCTTCTGGGTCGGGGTTTCATACTAGAAAAGCAGCTCCTTCACTGCGATTTATTGAAAGAAAGCCCTCAACACAAGGGTTTGTCTCACTCCTGTCCTCTCCCTTCCCCTGGGGGCCACCCGCCTGCTGTGATGGCAGCCCAGGTCACTGAGCAAAGCCTAATATGCAAATCTACCCAACAACCGATCGACCGGTTGCTATGACACACACTGACAGCCAGGAGGCAGATGCTCAACTCAGAAGCTGCCCCCTAGTGGTCACTGCACTCCCACAGCCAACCTCCTGTGGCCCCCCCCCGGCCAGCTAGTCCTGGCACTAAACCATTCATAGAGACCTGCTTCTGAGTTAGGGTTTCATACGTAGCAGAGCAGCTCCCTCACTGCGATCTATTGAAAATCAGCCCTTGAGCCCTAACTGGTTTGGCTCAGTGGATAGAGCGTCATCTTGCAGACTGAAGGATCCCAGGTTCGATTCTGGTCAAGGGCATGTACCTTGGTTGCAGGCACATCCCCAGTGGGTGATGTGCATGAGGCACCTGATCGATATTTCTCTCTTATTGATGTTTCTAACTCTCCATCCCTCTCCCTTCCTCTCCCCCCGGCCAGCTAGTCCTGGCACTAAACCATTCATAGAGACCTGCTTCTGAGTTAGGGTTTCATACGTAGCAGAGCAGCTCCCTCACTGATTTAAAAAGTTGGCCCTCGACACAAGGGCTCGTCTTATTCCGGGCCTCTCCCTTCCTAGGGGGGCCACCCGCCCACTGTGGTGGTGGCATGGCAGCAAGGGAAGGCGGGGGGGAAGGCAGGGAACTGCCTTCTCCTCTCTCTTCCCCAGGGGCCGCCTGCCCGCAGCTGGTGAGGGAAGGAAGGGGGCAGGCAGGGAACCGCGCAGTGACAGGGCACCAACGTCGGCGTCTGGTGTCCGTTCCTTCCGCACCCGGACCCGCAACCATCACCTCCTCTCCTGACCCTGCCAGGGCCTCCAGGCCCAGGCTGAAACAGGGAACCTGGGGTGAGTGGCAGCAGATGTTGCCCCTTTCCCAGGGGGGCCAAGGGCCAGTTCCCTCCTAGGGGCTGGCAGCCAACCTCCTGTGGTCCCTCCTCCTCCAGCTAGCCAACCTCCCGCCATGGTCCCTCCCCCCTGGTCAGCCAACCTCCCGCTGCGGTCCCTCCCCAAGCCGGCCAACCTCCCACGGTCCCTCCCCACCCCAGCACACCCCCCCATGCACAAATTTGTGCACCGGGCCTCTAGTTTTTTAATAAAAGAACACTGAGGACTAACAAGGGGCTAGGGAGCACACTAAGCCAAAGGGCACCTCATTCTTGTCATTGGGTACTTAGCTGGATCACCAGTGAAATCCTTGTTTTGTACATGTGACTGTGTATAATATGTGGGTGTGTGTATATGTTTGTGATTGAATCTAGTGTAAGGACTATAACAGGCAAGCTCATTAACAAATTGAATAAATAAAACCTTTTTTTTACCAGTTCATTATCAATGATAGTAACTGATTTCAAATCAGATTGGTAGAAAGGCTTACAGTTAAGAAATTGTTCTGTTTCAAGTTATCAGACACAAAAGAAACGATAAATTTTTTTAATTTTAAAGTGCAGTTGGTAAACAGTATTATATCCGTTTAAGGTATACAACACAGTAATTCAACATATCAATATACTTTATGACATGATCAACACAATAAGATAGTAACCACCTGTCACCATGCGAAGTTATTACAATATTACTGACTATATTCCCTGTCATGGATACTACATCCTGTGACTTATTTATTTCATAACTGAAAGTTTGTTCCTCGTATTCCCCTTCATCTTTTTCACCCATCCTCCTCCTGCCTTCCTTCTGGTAACCGTCCACTTGTTCTCTAAATTCATAAGCCTTGTCTATTTTGTTCTGTTTATTTGTTCTGGGGTGGTTGTTGCTTTTTCAGATTCCCATATAAGTGAAATATGGTATTTGTCTTTCTCTGAGTTATTTTACCTAACATAATACACCCTAGGTCAGCCATGGGCAAACTACGGCCTGCGGGAAATGAATAAAAAAAAAAGACCGTACCCTTTTATGTAATGATGTTTCTCTGGCAACTATCCATTTGTTCTCTAAATTCATAAGCCTGTGTCTGTTTTGTTCTGTTTGTTTGTTTTTTCAGATTCCCATATAAGTGAAATCATGGTATTTGTCTTTCTCTGAGTTATTTTACCTAGCATAATACACTCTAGGTCCATCCACATTGCAAATAGCAAGATATAATTGCTGAATAATGAAATTTCTTTATTGTTGAATAATAATCCAGTGTGTGTGTGTGTGATCTTATTTATCCATTAGTCTATTAATGTACACTTAGGTTGCTTCCATATTTTGGCTATTGTAAATAATACTGCAATAAACACAGGAATGCATATATTTTTTGAATTAGTGTTTTCATTTTCTTCAGATAGACAGCTGGAAGTGGAATTACTGGATCATATGGTAGTTCTTTTTTTGTGTGAGAAACCTCTCTATTGTTTTCCACAGTGGCTGTACCAATATGAAATCTTACCTACAATGCAAAAGGGTTCCCTTTTCTTGACACCTTTGCCAATGCTTGATACTGTTTGCTGTTTTTATAATAGCCAATGTGACAGGTGTGAGATGATATCTCACTGTGGTTTTGAGTTGAATTTCTCTGATGACTGTGATGTCTTTTCATGTGTCTGTTGGCCACATCTATGTCTTCTTTAGAAAAAAATGTCTGTTCAGGTTGTCTGCCAATTTTTTAATCTAATTGTTTGGGTTTTTGATATTTACTCGTATGAGTTCCTTATATATTTTGGATATTAACCCCTTATCAGATATATCATTTGCAAATATTTGTAATTCAGTGGGTTGCCTTTTCGTTTATGTGGGTGGGTTCATTCACTATCAAAGCTTTTTTAGTTTTATATAATCCTATTTGTTTATTTTTGCTTTTTTCCTTTGTTGCAAATTAGATAAGTCTTCTTAATTAATGGTAGTGCTAATAACAGATTGTAAAAAGATTAACCAGTTCTATATTAATCCAAAAAGAGGGCAATGGACAGGAAGATCTTAGAAGGACCACTAGATTCATCCAAGCCAGTGTACCCACAAGCAGACAGATCAAGATGAGACATGAATCTAGTCAGGGTAAGCAGTCTAGAAGGAGATAAGCATGGTATGCTAGGACCTGGAAGTTGTCAAGTCCAAGAAAGCCAAGCCCCCAAAAAAGTATGTCATTTCTGAGAAATCCAGGGACACAATCTGTTTGATTCATCTAGACACAATATTGCCTAATACACAGAACTGAATATTTGTGAGATAGGTAAATAATCTATCAACTAAATGGAATTCATATAGCCATTAAAAATGCAGCTATGGATCTAAAGGTACTGAGATACTGGAAAGTGAAAAATCAAATTGGAAATCATACTTAGATTGTGATTTCATTTTTGTTTGTGTGTGCATAGGTGTATGTATATAAATATCTGGAAAGATATAGCAAATTGTCCACAGTGGCTAAATTTATCTCTGTATGACAGAGTTAGGGGTAATTTCAACTTCTTTTCATTTATCCATATTTGCATATTTGCTAATTTGCAAATGAACATTGTCTACATCCACTACAAAAATGGTTTGTAATCTATCTGTATGATATGTTTGCAAGTGTATATATAGTGTTGGTACTATTAAGACATTTTACCACTACGCTGGATCTCAAAATATGGGCTCCTTGCTTGATTTCATAACTAACAAAGTCCTTGGAGTTTCCACTGGCAGAATGCTGGGGTAAGAAGCTCCTCCCATTTCTCACTGCCTCCTCCAACTCTTAAAACCCTTCTGACTGCCTAGGAGCACACAATCGAGGATGCAAACCATTGTGAGAGACAGCGACAAAAAGGTAACAACAGAGGTAAGGATAACAGCTGGGGGAAGAAGCTGACAAGGAAACGCTCAGCTCTAAACTCTAAGGCTCTCAACTGCAGTGAACAGAACTGCAGATCTGGCTCATCTCCCTAGAACTTTGTCATTGAACCAGTTGGCTTTGTTAAGTAGGTTGCTTTTAAATGTTGAACCAAGACTTTGTAAACAAGGCTTGCAATAAAGCCCATGAGACTTTGGAATTTGACTACTGAGGCATTCTATTCCATTCCAGCTGGTTATTAAATTACCACTACCATAGCGTTTAAAGCCCATTACCTGACCACAACCTTACGACTCTCTCTTATCTTTTGCCCCACTGAAAGCCACTGACTGACCAACTCTGTGACAGGAGACCATGGCAAAGAAGGTGGCAGTGATTGGAGCTGGCGTCAGTGGACTGATCTCTCTGAAGTGCTGTGTGGATGAGGGACTCGAGCCCACCTGCTTTGAGAGGACCGAAGATATTGGAGGACTATGGAGGTTCAAAGTATGTGAGATCTTCTTGTTTCTTGCACAGGTTGTGCTGCTATTACAGGGGGAAGCATAGCTACTGATGAGCCTTATTGAGAGATTCCCTAAGCAACTCTGATCAGACTTACTTCATGCAGCTATACAGGAGCTGAAGAAATAGGCTAGCATCTCTCCCAGGTCATTACTATTCTAACACATACGTGGCAAAGCCAGGCATGTGAAGGGTCTCTTCTTATGCCTCTGTGTTGCAGCCCATTATTTTGGTCATTCTCAAAGTGATATGCTAGTATTAGAGAACTTACAAAATAGAAGTGACAGGAACTCTTTTCAAGACACCACTTCTATTCCAATCATTGAGCAAATGCTTTTTTAGAAAGTGTGCTCTTATTACTAATGATTTTTACTTTTCTCTGACAAAGGGACCTTGTTTGCTTAGCTTTACTGATGACACTCTAGTGTTACTGCTGGGAAACTCTTTAACTATACTATTAATATACTCTATTCATTCAATTCATGCTATTAGCCAAATATAAATATTGGTAATGCTAACTATCCTTCAGAATTTGTATAAAAATTAGAAAAATACATAGCTATAAAGATTTATAATTATTCCTCCCCAATTTTTTTGAATGAGTACTAGCTTACCACCTTCTAGGTGTGAGATCTTTGGCAAGTTATTTATATCCCTGTGTCTTAGTTTTCTCAGCTGTAAAGATATTAACAGAAAAATGTGATTATCTCAGTGCTATTTTAAAGATTAAGGGAGATCATATCAAAAACTTATAATAGAGTACAATGTAGCTACCATAACTATGTATTTTATAGACAAGCAAGTAGAAACAGAGAGTGGTCACGGTCACATAGCTGGAGGAACTGGCATTCAAACCTGGGTCTCCGTGACTCCTACGCAGCTAAATCCCTACTTATAACCATGTCTTAATTTGCACTCTTTCTCAATAAGGTTAAACAAAACCTCAGCTCAGAACTGGAATGACAAGCTGAGGGTTATGTATCAGGCATATCAAAATGAGGGATCAAAAGAGGCGGGAACATCCCAAACAGGAGCAAACGGATTGAGAGCATGAAAAGCAGACTTTCATATCAGCAGAGACCATCTGACGTGCTCTTTCTGCAAACGGACCAGTTAAGGGGATGGGGAGGACGTCCAGCAAACTGGACGTCCAGTTCAAACTGAATTTTATGCCAAAGGGGATTTTTTTTCACACTGAGTTTCTCAAAGGGATCTGACTGTAAGACATACCTGGGGGTTTCTTAAAATACTAAATTTTGACCACCAGCCCAGACTACCTTAATCAAAATCTTCTGAGTGGGGAGGACCCTATTCTTAACAAGAGTCCCTAATGAATCCCATGATGAGACAAGTTTGGCAAATATTGCACAAATGCTAAATTTTTTAAATCTGTTCAATTCACTGATCCAAGCACAGCCAGAACTAAGATGGAAAGGTTGATATTTATTACAGAACAGGTAACTTTGCAGAGAGGAAACTGGAAAAACAGCTGAATCACATCCATTTTTTAGGAGCATCTGCTCATTAAAATCAATGTAGCTTTCCTTGAGCAGGTGAACACTTCTGTCTTAACCAAAGATGTGCGATTTTTGTCCACCCTCAGTTCACGTGGAGATCCCATTTGGGGTTCTACCCCCCCGGTAGATTTGATACCCTAAGGAAGAATGCGAAATTATAACAAATTTCTATTTAATAATAAATTTGCCATTGTTTTGTTTTATTACCTGACTTGGGATTTAAAATCAAAAAGTCAATGTCCCTTACTTAATTATCATTAGTTTGACAGCAGAAGAATGAGAGTTTTTTTTAGTGATCTGTCAAAAAATATGACTTGGTGAACTCTGGAAGGTGCCCCAAAATATTTCTCCTGCTCTCCTATTCTAGTAGTAGAGATAACTTCCTATCAATTAAAAAATGAACCTGAAACCTTTCAGTCCACAGACCTATGCTCTATCTACTGAGCCAAACCAGCTAGGGCCCTACCTATGTTTGTTGAATGATTGAGCTACAGGCTGGGGCCTTTAAAAGATGGTTCAGTCTGGGACTCAGAGACAAGAACAACCAGTGGAACGACGAGTCACTATGACATGCACTGACCATCAGGGGGCAGACACTCAACGCAGGAGCTGCCCCCAGGCTGCAGGCCTCAGGCCAGCCAAGGTGGGTGCCAGTGAGGGCCCCCCAATCACCCCACTGGTCACCCCACAGATCGGCCCTGATGGCCAGCCAGGCCTAGGAACCCTACCCATGCAGGAATTTCATGCACCCAGGCCTCTAGTTAGGTATAAGATAGTTAAGTACATAAACCCATGGGAGCTGTAATAATGTCACATTTCAAACCTGGCTTACAACTATATTCAATATAGAAATGTAAACAATTTTCTCTAACCAAAGAAGACAAGGAATCTCTCTGCAGAGTGAAACATTCAATGGACAAAATTTCAGAAGCCAGTGAGGCTCTTGGTTACCAGGAGACTGGACTGCCAAAGGGAGGAGGTACTGAAAAGAGGCTGAGGCCTCCACCCCACTCCAAGACACTCCTCCATCCAAAATCAATTTTGAAAACAGATTACTCTTTAATTTCCATAATTACACAATCCTTCTACAATTACATACCACATTTAGTGGTGACAAGTTAAAACAAAATTTAAGAATCCTTGTCCCACCAGGTCAGTGTGGCTCAGGGGTTAAATGTTGACCCATGAACCAAGAAGTCACACTTTGATTCCCAGTCAGAACACATGCCCCAGTTGCAGACTCCATCCTCAGCAGGGTGTGTGCAGGAGGCAGCCAATAGTTGATTCTCTTTTGACACTGCCATTTCTAACTCTCTCTCCCTCTCCCTTCCTCTCTCTGAAATCAGTAAAAATATATTTTTAAAAAAGAATCCTTGTCCCATGCCCTGCTCAGAGGGTGCTGAATCTTCTAAAACAGCGGTTCTCAACCTGTGGGTCGTGACCCCATTGGGGGTCGAATGACCCTTTCACAGGGGTCGCCTAAGATCATCGGAAAACACATATATG